GGTTTTTGCTTCACCTCAAGAGGCTTTTTTTCGGTTTTTTGGTTGATATTACTTGTATTTTCTAATATTCTTGAGCACCCCTCAAAGTTTAGCAGATGCACATTTCATATCCCAAAAAAATTACTTGCAGAAATAAATTGAACGTGTGCACAGGACCCCGCCGAAAACTTCATAGGTTCGCCCATGCAACTGACCCCACATGAAACCTGTCTCCAAAGACACCAATATAAAGAGACATTTTTTTGACTCACTCAACAACCGAGACTGACAAAATGGCTCGGGATCGGATCCAAAACCTATATTGTATTTAAACAAAGTCTCCTTACATCTTTACTATCTGAATTACATGCTAAAAGCTATTTATATTGACATTTATCAACATGAATATAATTCAAATCTGTCTAAATCTTATTAATGCATTAATTATATATTTATTGAATAAAAACCCACAAATTTCAAATGATTGGAAAATCATTTTTCAAATATTAAATAATAAATGGTTTTTCAAAAACTCAATTGTTTGTTTTCTTCTTAGTAGTTCTATTAAAAGACAACATCTGAATCGTTAAGAGTTGAATTTTGTTTGGCAAAAAAAAAAGTCTGCCTCTTAATGGTTCTAAAACTCTCTGAATGATTTTGTATCATGAATCTCCCTTAACCATTAAGATCCCTAATTTCATTGTACACAATTATCAAACAATTATATTTCATTTTGCATTATATCATGAGAGTCTCTTAATCATTCTGCACCAAACTATTCAGCAATTGCCAAACAGCCCCTTAGTGTTTGTGATTTAAAAATCTTAACTCAATCCAACCCAAACTGTACGGATTGGTCGATTTGATACTTTGGTACATTAAATTATTCTTCTAGCCTTGAATATGTTGTTTTCTCTACTCATATCATATTCAACTATTTTTCTTAATTTGCATATATATGTTCACATTTACTGACATATATATGAATGAGTTATATAGAGATAAAAAATAGATTGAAAATATATGTATATGGAGAGGGTACGTTGTATTAATAAGAACTTAACAATCATATTAAATACAAAAAATAAAACGATAACGGGTTCATCATATTGAGTTGGGTTCAAATGACTGCAACCCAATTCCAACTCAATACCTACGGTTTGAAGATTCTACAACTGATTAGACGTCGAGTTGCTTTATGTTAGATTATTTGGCATTGGATTGGATTGGCCGGGTTGATCGGGTTTTTGAGCACCCCTAACTTACGTCAACCCACATTTTCTATTACAAAATAGAAAAAATAAAGCATTATGCAAGTTGCGTAAGTGCCCCTTACGTAAAGCCCATATCACATTTGGATATGGTCCCTCAAAAGGACTATATACACCATTCCACGAGGACTACAAATTTACGTCAACATGCCACATGAGCATTACACAAATAGCACTTACGCAATTTGTGTAATGCCCCCATTTTTTTCCATTCTTAATGGAAAATTTGGGTTAAAAGTCGTTTACTAAACACTTACTTGGTAAGTGTTTAACGCATAAATTTCTTCATTGAATGAACATGAAAAGAGCCAAGAATCTTACCGGGTAAGAGCTATGAGAAGGATGAAGAGTCTTACCCGGTAAGTGAGGATGACGACTCGTACCCAGGTAAGGCTTACCCAGTAAATTGTTGTATTTGATATGTTTTGATATACTAAAATCTTACGCATCAAAATAAATCATAGTGTTCACTCCTATTGGTAAGTGCTTATCGGGTAAGCATTTGTTATACAAGTTGCGTAATTCCACTTGTGCAAGTTCCGGCTAATCGAAAAATAAAAATAAAAATCACAAATTTTTAAATCATAAGGACGAAAATAACAATGAATTATAAATCATATTGACGAAAACCGCAATTTTTAAACTATAAAAATAAAAATCACAATTTTTTTTAACAAACCACATGGATGAAAAATGTAATTTACTCTTAAACCTATTGATATCCTAAATAAGGGATGTGCGAAACCCGAAATCCGAACCCAAACCCAAAACGAAAATAAGGTATTTATGTAAAACCCGAATGCCCCGAAATACGAAAACCGACTTTTTTGGAAAAATTTGGGTTCGGGTCGGGTTTAATTTTTGGTCATCTGATCCGTCCGGGGACCCGAAATATATATACATATATGTTTGAAATATTATATAAATATACTTATTTATCTAATTATCTTTTGAAAATTCGTGTTTTTTTTTATAATTTCTAAACATACTATCTATTTATAAATCCTCTAAATTATTGAATTCATCATTAAAAACGATCGGATATGTGTGTTTGTGTGTGTGTATTGCATTATAACTAAATCTGAACCTGAACCTGAAACCCGACCAACCCGAATCCGACCGACCTCAACCCGAATGCCGACCAACCCGAACCCGACCGACCTCAACCCGAACCCTAATCCGAAGCAATCCAAAATCCAAAAATTGGGGCTTGATTTCCATATCCGAAATTCGATCGGATTTCTGATTTTCTCACCCGAACCCGTCCGAAACGCCCGATGCACACCTCTACCCAAAATAGTCCATTTATTGACTTTTAAAATGTGATAACTTTCAAAATAAGTCAAATGGATCCCCCACCCCTTTTTTTGCCTTAAATTAAATTGGATTAAATGGATTGAGCATGTCAAACAAATATATAAAGCACACAAAGTGAAATTTAAATGTTTACAAATGCTAATAAACCATTTTTATATTTATTATATTATAAAATATTTGATAATTTATTTAAAAATACATTATAATAAAATCAAGGTTATAGGACTCCTAAAGTGTTTTAGTAGAATGTATTATAAGACTTAAGTTTATAGGATTAAAGTTATCTAAAAGTGCTACGATAAATTTATAGGACGTTTTTGAGCATCATAATAAGTTTTTTAGAACATTACTTGAAATAAAGTGTTTTATTAGCTATTTTATAGAACATTATTTGAAAAAATATCTTATAAACACTAGTATCCTGTAAAAGTGTGGATTTATAGCACACTTCTCAAAACTCTCCTATAAAATAGTGTACTATAAAATAACTAATATGCCACTTTATGCTAAAAAGTCTTAAAAAACTTGTTACAACGTCCAAAAACATCTTATAAACTTATTGTAACAATTTTAGATAGTACATTTTGTTTTTTGGTCATATAAACTTAGGTGTTATAAAACACTTTATATGATACTTAAATAGTGTAGGTAGTCTTAAATACTGTTTATTGATGCATATTATTTAAAATTGAAGATTACAAGATAATTTTTGCATAAGTACAATTTATTAAAGCTTCATGTTTGAATTTGTGTAATTAACTGCAGATAAACATAATTAAATAGAGGATAAATATATCAATTTAAATATAAAAAATCTAAAATATAATTAGGATAATCATTAAGTTCTAACAAAATACTAAATCATTATCGCTATGAAAAATTATGTTATTAAATCAAAAATAAAAAAATGAATTAAAGAAATACACAAAAAAAAATTAACTAGTTAGTTTGGTACCAATATCAATATCTCAATTTTTTATGATATATTTATATTTATATTTTATTCAAAAATAAAAACATTATCGTTTTCTCAAAACCATATAAAACCGTATTATAACATCGATTAAAACAAAAACAAAACGAAATATTAAAATCGAGATGTATCTCGCTGTATTGTGCGGATACTTTTCTACTTTTCTCATTATAAAAGAGTAGAAGAGTACTCGCACAATGCAGCGAGACACATCTCGATTTTAATGTTCTATTTTATTATTTGTCTCTGTCAATGTTATGATACAATTTTATTGTGTTTTAAGAAAGCAATAATGATTTAATTTTTGAATAAAATATAAATTTGAAGATATCATACAAATTTAAAAAATATATATATCAATGTTAATATCAAATTTAACTATTTAAAAGTTTTATTTTTTTATGTAATTTCTTTAATTTATTTATTTTATTCTAATTTAATTTAAGTTTAATAATGAAATAATTTATTTTTGGTTTAATAATATAACATTTTATAAAGATAATAATTAAGTATTATGTTAGGATTTAATGATTATCTTAATTATATTTTAGATTTTTTATATGTAAAAAGAGATGTTTATCATGTATTTAATTATGTTTATCTGCAGCTAGTTACACGAATTCAGATATGAAGCTTTAATAAGTTGTACTTACACACAATCTAGATGCAATCTTGAGTTTAAGTAATATGCATTAATAAACAGTATTTTATGCACAAAAAAGGGTTTTTAAGAGTTTTTGTCAAAGGATTTATAGTATAGATTACGTGTTTTTAAGAAAGCAATAATGATTTAATTTTTGAATAAAATATAAATTTGAAGATATCATAAAAATTTGAGAAAAAAATATATCTTAAAATTTGAGAAAAAAAATTAATCGTCATTTTAGATTTTTTATATCTTAAAATGAGATATTTATCATTTATTTGATTATGTTTATCCGTAGTTAGTTACATGAAGTTTTAATAAGTTGTATTTGTGAATAATTTACTTGTAATCTTGGATTTTAAGTAATATGCATCAATAAACAATACTTCATGTATAAAAAATGGTTTTTTAAGAGTTTTTGTCAAATGTTTTATAATATAGTATAAATATAATATAAGAAAATAACAATAAATTACAAACCAAATGAAGAAAAACCACAGTTTCTAAACACGAGGACGAAAACAGAAATTATTAACAAAACGGAAAATGCAATTTACTCTTATATTAATTGAATTAATTAATACAAAATTTGACTTTTATTAAGATAATAATTAATAAAAAGGATATTGATGACCATAACATAATCAACTATAAAATCAAGGAATCCCACTTCTCACCTCCCATCTTTCGTCCTCTTTCTATAAAACCTCTTTTTTTTTTTTTAAATTAAAAATAAATAAATAAATTGGGATTCCTTTAATACCATACCACCATGATCTTCTTCATCTTCTTCTTCTTGAGAGTTGGTTAAGTTGCAGAGCTTCAATTGGTTGGTTCCATGGGAGAAATAATTGGTGGTGGTGGTGGTGTGGCAGCACATGGTGGTTCTGGTTCTCCGGCCACCGTGCCACGTAAGCAGCTTTCCATGTCCGGCGTGATTCTGAAGAACACCGGCGTCCACGTGTCAGCCTTCGTTTCTGTGTTTTTAGTGACCCTTTTCATCACTGCAGTTTTCTTCACTCGTTGGGTTGATGTTGTAAGTATTACTTAATTCATGTTTTTCTTCTTCTTTTTGATCTTTTTCAGAACTACGCATATACATATATATATATAGATTTGGGATCACATGAAACCAGTTATTTTTCATGAGACCCGTGAGACCATTTTTTACATTTGAAACTTCATGGTAAAACACTACGAAGGTAACCTTCACAGTGTTTTTGCTGTGAATGTTCGGCTTTTTTTACCTTTATAGTGTTTTGCTATAAAGTTTCAATTGTAAAAAAGTGGTCTCACCGGTCTCATGAAAATAGGTTGGTCTCACGTGAACCCAACCTCTATATATATATATATATATATGCATACATATAGGTTCAAGAAAACTAGAAAAAATAAATATTTGAGGAAGACTTTGGTAAACTGTTCATCTCATCTGGACGGTATGCATGCATAAGAGTAATTTGTAAGCAATTTTCCGGTATACACATGTGCATAAAATTTAATAAACAATTTCAATTACTTATATATATATATGTGTATATTGTCTACATGAACGGTTATTATGGTGTTCTTTAGTTTTTTGGGGTTTTCTTCTAAACCTCTTGTTCTCTCTATGTTGTGTATAACATGTATTTATGTAGTTTTCCTTATGGTTTTTGAATAATCATTACAATAAAATTGGGTTTATAACACGCGTAAAATGTCTAAGCGTCTAAATAGACCACTTTATAGTTATTACGTTTATAAGACCAAACTATAAAACATCTTATATAAAAGTGTTACAATAGGTTGATAAAATGTTTTTTTGAGCATTTCAACAAGTTTTTTTTATAAATAAAGTGTTGTATTAGTTATTTTATAGAACAGTTTTGTAAATTGTCCTATAAACGTTTTTTATATGATACTTTTTCAAATAATGGTGTATAAAATAGCTAACACATACATTTTTTTAACAAGGGTTCTAAATTTTTTGTGGTAACACCTAAAAGTGTTGTATAAACTTATTTTAATACTTTTAGATTTGACGTTTTTGGTTTTCATCCTATAAACTAATTAAGTCCTAATAAAGTCTTTTTATGACGATGCTTAGACATTTAAGGTGTCTTATAAAACTAATTTTGATGTTCTTAATTTTATACATATACACATACACACGCATATATATATATATATATATATATATATATATATATTATAAATATTTGATAAAATAATTCTCAAGCACATAGATCTATATCCAATCAAACCCCATGTTTCTAAAAAAACTTGATTTTATACGTATGCATAAACTTGATTATATATATATATATATATATATATATATATATATGTGTGTATATATGTAGGGTTGGGTTCACATGAGACTAAGAGTTTTTCATTGATCAATTTTATAAGCTAATAATTTAGTGGTCTAAAGTTGCACGGTGGCAATTTTGTGATTATGAATGTTCAGATTGTAGATATAATTCAAGGGTTGAGAATTAGTTTTACGGGTCTCACGAAAAACTCTTAGTCTCACATGATCCCAAGTCTATGTATGTATTTGTATATATATATTGGGGGGGGGGGGGTGGATTCATGTGAGACACGATTTTTACACTTGAAATTTCACAAAAAAAAATGTTGTGAAGGTAAAAAAATTCGAATCTTCACTGCAAAAACACTGTGAATGTTACCTTCCCACTGTTTTGATGTAAAGTTTCAAATATAAAAACCGTGTCTTACTATCTCAAGAAAACAATCTTGTTTCACATGATCTCAAATCTCTCTATATTTATTTATTTATGTATGTATGATGCATAGGTATAAGATCAAGATTTTCTATAAACATGGGGTTTGATTGGATATAGATGTATGTGCTTGAGAATTCTTTTTTATAATATATTTAATATTTGATAAATTATTGGATAAATTAAAAGTCTTGAATGTGATTAGGTACGTAGTTTAAATAATTTAATTACATAATATTGAATTTTAATCGTGCTCACCTTATACCATTCCATATAAATTTGAATAATACTATATCTATTTGACTAAATTTCTACCCCTTTTTCTGGTAAATTTCGTGCACGATATAATTTTTAGAATAAAATACAGATATATTCACATCATCAGTATTTTCTTATATTATATTTCTGGTTCAATACAAACTTGTAATTTATTTGATTAATTTGGTCCCATTTGATTAAAGTTTGAAAGCAACATTTAATTTTGAAAAAACGAAAATTCAAATAATTGTATCATTGAAATTATTTATTTCTGTCTGTTTTGATTAAGATGGTTAGTATGTGGTATTCAAAAAAAACTATTACTAGCATTCTTAAACTTCAAAAGTTACGGAGATGGTCTTCGTGGTTGTCATGTTCTTCCCCTCTCGACTAATAACTGTTATAGAAATTCGTTAATTCAGTTAACTTAGGGTCATTTTGGTCTTTTTACACCTGTTTTTTTTGTCTTTTTATTATTACTGATTATTGATGTATATTAGTTAAAATTTAAAATTACAAGTAGATTATGCATAAGTACAACTTATTAAAAATTTATGTTTGAATTTGTATAATTAACTG